CACAGGACAGTGTCACCCTGCACAGCACAGCAGAGCCCGGGGAACTCGCAGGCTGGGGCAGGAACCAACTCAAGCCTGGCCCCTGCTGGCCCCGGGGCGGCTCCTGCTGCCCCAGCAGCACAAACTCCTCCCCAGCAGCTCCATCAGCACATCCCACAGCCACGGCGAGAGCTGCCTCCAACACCAGCCACTAATGAGCCAACAATTACAGAATTCTGGTTAATTATTAAAACTTTACACCTAAAAACAAATAGAAATAAATGCTTCTCCTTGGTTTTTTTTTTTTTTTTTTTTCTTTTTCCAACAGTACTTTTATTTATTTATTTTAAAGCAGGTGATTATTTTTTTCTTCTGCTCCAGAGCCTTGATTCACTTCCTGCAGGTGTCCTGCTGCTTCTTGGGGGGGATTTCACTAATGCAGGAAGACATTTGCCAGAAAACATCTGTTGGAGAAGGATATTGAACACTGAAACTGCAGTCAGAGGGTTATTTTGGATAACAGGAGGATGTAGTTCACACAGCACAGGATGTCTAAAGGCTTATGAAGTGTCTCAGCACACAATGATGTGACTCCAGCAAAATGCTCAGGAATCTGTGTGTGTTTTACAGGAAAACACCAGGATTGTGTTCATTGCTGCACATGCAGCTGCAGTAGTAAAGTGGAATAGTGAACTCCAGCTTTCCACCAGATTCATTTCACCAGGTTGTATTTTCTGGTTTGCACTCATTATTCCCCTCCTAATTTTCTACAAATTATCCCCACTCTAAAAATAAAAATAATCCCTCACTGTGCCCTTTGCATCATGTCCTGAAGAGGAAATCTCATCTAAGGACAATACTACACTAAAAATCCAAGTCTTTTGTGGTTTCCTCACTCAGAATTCAGAATTAAAGATTTATTTTCAGGGGAAGTATCAAAGTTGTAATATTTATGAGTTATTCTGGACATTTATCTCAGCATATCTCAAAGTGCTTTTTTGAAAATGCTCTAAAATGACAAATAAATAAGAATTTAAACACTCTACACCTCCACAAGCAAGGAGTGAAGCTAGGTCTCTAAAACTGTAATTTTGAATTCCAAACATAGCAAAAGTCTGTGCAAAAAAGAAACCACGGAGTTCCTTTAGGGAGTAAAAAATAAAGTTTTGGTAAAGGAGCAAAATTTTTTTTTTAAATTGTTCAGTCAGACAAAATACAGAGATAAAGCTGACTTCAAATGCTCACAATTCCATGACCATAAACTGGGGGAAATCAACCCTCTGGTGACTCAGCAGGAATCTGGGAGGATATTACAGATCCTGGAGGAGGTCACAAACCAGAACTTTGTTAAACAGAACTGAAACACGTCAAGAAATTGGCTGAACTATTTTTACACACTATCACCAGAGGAAAACTGCACAAAGGTTGTTCTGTGCTGCAGGTTCTCCTCACAGACTGGAAATGAAGGAGAATCGTGGGCAATTTGCAGTTTCTAATAAAAGGGAAATGCATTTGGAAAACCCAAGGCTCAGTTTTCAAATCTCAACAATTTAATGACCCCCAATTTCAAGCTGGGTTTCTTTGACTGTCCCAGCTGCAATTGCCTCTGTCTGGGGAAATGGAGTGTTATTATGATATTTCTAAAGGGAGCATCATGTTGCATTCCCCAGCTGGGAAGGAACCTATTCCAGGATTTCCTTCCCCTCAGGGAGGGACAGTTAATGCCAGGCCATTATCTGCTGTGAGCAGGAAATTATGTTCCAAGGCTTCAGCTACTTAAGCCTGCTCCTTTAAAACCCCATTAGGGCAGCCCAGGCTGAGGCTCAGCACTGAAGCAAAAGATTCCCAGGCATTCAGGTTTTGTCAGGATGCTCAGGTAAGACAGCTCAGGTGTGTGAGAGAGGTCTGAGGACAGCAAGGGTTTCTTCAGGAGCCTGGCAGCAATTTCAAACAGCAGAATTCAGACAAATTGCTCGTTCTGGGACAAAAGCCAAAGGTGCTGGCACGCCCCTCCAACAACTTTGGTGACCTCTCCTCGGGTTTGGGACACACCACGTGTTTCAGGCATGTGATTTATCCTCAAAGACACATTTGCCAAATGCACTGCAGTACCAAGGGGCAGAGGTTTTGTTCTCACAGTTTCTAGTCATGGAATCAAATGAATCTCTAACTCCTCACAGCAAAAATTCAGGGAGGAATGTTCAGCGTTCCTCTGCCTCCCATCGGGTCAGTCTGGGCTCTGCAGACTCAGGAGCTGGGGAGGGGATACCAAGAAACAACTGCTCCCTGCTTCCTTGAGCTCTAAAAATATTCAAGCAATGGAAAGTGTAGCCTAGAAAAGTCACTGAACAGAGTTAAAATCAAAGCAGAACAAATTCATGAAAGCAGAAAATTTACCTTTAGTAAATAAAGAGAACTCTGGTTCTGGGGAGAGTGGAAAACGTATCTGGCATCTTCCTGACCTTTGCATAATTAATAAATCCTCTGAGAAACAGCAGAAAACCTGCAGGGGAGAGACACATTTGTCCATTTAACACAGGTGTTGCTTCTCCAGCAGCAGGGAGCAGCTGAACTCCCTGCCACCACTACACAGGAGCTCATCACTGGCATGTCCAGCAGCTCATCACACACTGCCATTATTTTTGGCAGCAGTAACACCTCATCTTTCCATTTCAGGTAACTTAAAAAACAAACTTTCCATAGGAAATGATAAAACTTTTGACTCCAAACAAGATCCAGTCACTCCCAAAGCAGGGAAAAGAAAATAAAATGAGGAAGGCAACAATCCACTCTTCCATTTAAATGCAAGAGCAAACACATCAGTTACAAGCATTATTCTCAATTTCTGGATGGTATCAGGATGCTGCCACCAAGAAGTGGCAACAGAAGGACAGAGTTTACATGTGCCTTTAAAACCTGACTGTGCTCAGTCAGAGGAGTATGAGGGTCACATTTCATCTGTACATCCACACACACAGACTGAACAGCCAGGAATGCTCACAAAATCCCAAGTGACTTCACAGAGTTTTTAAGCATCTTTCCCCTCCCAGACACTCACCTAGTACAAGGAAGACCCACCAAAGCCAGTACTGGCCATCGAAGTAACCAGGAAAATAGGTGGAGAACTGAAAAACAGCCAAAAAAATACAGCTTAGAGCACGTGGAGTTTGTCAACCAAAGTCTATTCCCCCAATTTTAGCAGTAACCAGATCAGGGCTGCACACAGGAGATCTCATGGAATGCTGCATTTCACCAGCTGCAGGAATCAGTTACCTCCACAAACTGTTATTTATGGGTTTTCTGCACCAGCACTAACAAGGGGAATTCAGACTGAACACCCAACTATGAACTCTGGCAATCAGTGAGGAACAAGGACACTACTGGGCAAATATTCCTGTTTAAAACTGGGTCCTGGATGCTTGCAGCAGTGCAGCACAATCATTACACTGTCAGTCTGGATGGTGTAACAGCTGGAAAAGAAATCCCACATCTGTGGAACCCACTGATAAGATTCCCAATTGGGAAAATTGCTGCTATTAAATGAAAGGTACCAACACTATGAGGTTCACAGTTTCAGTATAAATACAGTATCGTTCCTCTGGGTTTGTTCTATTCAAGTTTAAAAACCTAACAAAAGATAAACTTGTTACTGATGTTTAAATCAAATCCTCAGGTAATGTCACCCCCTTCTGTCACATCTCTTAATCCAGCAAATGGTTCTTAACACCTCTGTTCCAAGATGACCACAAAAACTGTCTACAGAAAAGTGAAGTGATGCTTTATTTACAAATTAGAATTCCCAACCCCAAAGGACAGGGTAGGAAGTGCCAGCTCTGACATTAAAGCTCTCTACTTCCACTTACAGCCAATGAGCTGCTTTGCTTGAAATTCAACTTCCAGCCTGGAATATCTGTGTGCCATCATTTCACAGGCTCTAAACAAAGATTTCCTGATGGAAACATTTTCTCCCGATCCCTCCAAAAAAATACAAGAGCCAAAAAAAAAAAAACCCCTAGAGCAGAGTGGCAGCTCGCTGCTGGTGCCTGCTGCTGTGGAGCAGGGAGGCTGCAGCAGAGGGCACCCACGGCCTTCTCCCACTGCTGCTCCAGCGCTGGCTCCTCCCCACGTCCCTCTTCCCTCTCCTCAGCAGCGAGCCCGAATTTCACACAATTCCCTGATTTCCACACGAGAGCCTAAGGCGCTGCAGAGGCCAAAGGTTTTGCCTGGGTTCGTGTTTTCCCGGGATCAGAGCATTGCTCACCCTGATGCAGGCAGAGGCTCTGTCAGACACACTCAGAATGAATCCCAGAATCCCAGAGTGGGTTGGGTTGGGTTGGGAAGGATCCTACAGCTCCTCTCTTTTGCCACAGACAGGGAAACCTTCCACCAATCCCAGGAATCCCTGTCCAGCTTAAACTTGGACACTTCCAGGGATGGAGCATCCCCAAACATATCTGGGTGTGCAATCTTTCTTTTCTTGTACTACAATTGTAATTCCAGCATATAAACAGGATAGAATTATGAAAAAGCTCTGTTCTTAGTGAATAAGTAACTCAAAAATTATTTCATTATTTTAAAAAAAACCCCGAACTAACTACATTTACCACTAACTTCAGTATGAGATAAAAACCTGCTGGAGAAAACGAGTATCAATGTCTGTGTATGTGGTTTTGCACCACACAACTCACCCTGACAATAAGGATCCATTTAATAAGAGACAGACCAAACCCAGAAATGGCCCCATATCGTCCTGCAGCTGAAGTAGTCAGACAGAAAGACAGGAAAAATCCAATCCAGTTGAAGAGGAATGCCACTGAGAAAACAGGAGAAAAGCAGCAGGTCAAGACATCTTTATATTCCAAGGAAAAAAAAAAGAACATAAACCCCTTGCACACAGGTTTTTCCTGGTGCTACATAAACAGAAATGTGACCTAAACTATTTTGGGTCATTGGTTGGAAAAAAGTTCATTCCATCAGGTACTCACTGAAGAAAGTCAGCATGAAAATGCCATCATTTCCTATCCTCAGCTGGTCAGTGTCATCAAAGTCATCTCGTGTCACAAAATCTTCATCCTGCAAAGCAGAGGGAGCAGCACAGGGGGATTCAGGTCATGCAGCAACCTCACTTCTAGGTGTGACCCTTCAAAAAAATGGCTGGAATCCTACAAATCCTACAAATGCAAGCATGAAAAAATCCCTGTTTCCCATCCTGAAATGGTGCAGGGCATGAAATGTTATCTATATACTAGGAAATGTATCTTTATTTTTAACATAGTCAAGATCCAGCATGTTCTTGTTCTCACTGTGAAGAATTCTTCAACTCATCAAAAAATTATCATCTCAGCAAGGAATGTGGCTTCTGTGAAGAAGTGTAATGAGCAGTGGACTTCTAATGCCAGCAGGGGTGGAGGGAATGGCTGAGCAAGAGATAATGTTGAAAAAACAAAAAGAAATAATTCTGACAGAATGGTTTTATCGTCCTTGTATCAGCTGCACTGACCTCCAGAAAAGTCAACTAAGTAAGCAGCAGGAGTATCAAGGGTAGATATGCCAGACAGCTGAAGAATTAATCCTAAATCTTTTTTTAAAATGAAAAAAAAAAAAAAAACCCAACAAAAACCCCAGTGTCAGTGCACAGGGTTACAGTACAGTCCCCCTGTCAGTTTGCCAAGCTAATCTGGCTAGCACATGCTGGCATTACTGAGATGTCTGACATCATCACAGTGCTCAGAGGAAAATTAAAAAAGAAAGAAAAAAAAAAGAAAAAAAAAATAGCCACAGGACTCTCAGGACTGTGAAATATCACCACCCCAGAAAGCTTCAAAAACATAAAACCCACAGATTTGAGAAGTCATGACACACGATGGGCAGGAGTTAGAGCTGGAACTGCAGGCAGCAGTGCAGGGACACTCACACTCACCCTGCCAGGAACCAAGGGGATGGTGGCCTCAGCCTTGCTCCTCTCAGCCTCATCGTAGCTGGGCAGAGTGGTGGCCACGTTATAGGACGGTGGCTTTGGGAAGCCTGACTCATCCTTGTAATCAAAATAAGCTGCAAAAAACAGTTCCACAAAACTCAGCAGCGCCCCAGGTGAGCTCCATTCCTGTCCCCCACCCTCCCATCCACTCCAGCCTCCTGCCAGCCCAAGGCAGGAAGTGAAAAGCAGAGCAGCACCTCCTCTGACAGCCAGCAGAGCTCCCACCGAACATGTCCGGCTGTACTTCTGCTTAAAACAACACCACATGCTGTGCCTCTGCTGACTTGGAAACTCGGAAAGAGTCACGTTTCCAGATCCAAGTGGTTATTAAAGTTATTAGTGACAGGACAGAAGGATGATTCAAAGTCCAATCCAAGTGCTTAGTTATTGAAAAGTGGAGGAAAAGTGAATTCTTTAAACCCTTTTAAGTAACAAATCCTTTAAGGAAGGGGCACAGCATCATCCAAATGCCAGATAATGAAAGGGGAACCACAAATCCTCCCAGCACTTTGATTTTTAACTGTCTTCAATTTACTGAGAACACTGTGAACTGTAACTTGAACACCCCTCGATGGGATGACATCAGATGAACGCAGCCAAATTGCATCTCCCAAACCACAAGTACCAACAGGATGTGTGCATCAACCCTGATCCCTGCAGCTCGGGAAGGTGAGGATGAGGAGAGCAGTCAGTGCCAGCAGCCCTTGCCCAGGTGAGGGTACCTGTGCTCTCTGCAGAAATGCTGCTGTAGGGTGGAGGGGCATCGTTCACCACCGGCACGGCCTCGCCCGGCTCCTCTTCATTCTGCAGCTGAACAGAAGCACACGCCAGGGGTTAGGGGGGTTAGGGGGGGTTCTCTGTGCTCTCACAGCACCCCTGCAGCCTCAATTGCACACAACAGACTCTTCTGGAAGGAGACTGTTCTGCAGCACCACGGCACGCAGAGCTCAGCCTCCCTCCAAAGAATTCCCATTTGAAATGATCAATCTTCCAGCTCAGTTTTAATGTTGTTTTTAAATCCTCTCCTCACACACCTGGATTCCAGCAAAGCACGGCACACAGTTTTGCAGTACCTTTCCATTTCCCTCAGCTCACACTGCTTAGGAGCTGCAGTTGCATCTGTGTTAGTCAGAGAAATACAGTGAGATACCCAACAAAAGGCTCCATTGCTGCCTGTGGCTTTGCTAAGGAAAGGTTTTTTTTCCATGGATACCTTACATAATGATGCACAGAAGTATAAATGTTGCCATTTCCCTTCAACCTTTCACACTGCATGACTGAAAAGGAGCTGGTTTATTTTGTGCACTGTGCTTCCCACAGGTCTGTATAAATAACCAGGAGCTATCACAGATCCAGCACTGCTCACACGAGGCAGGTGTGCCATGGCAGCTTTGATCAGAAAAGCAGCACTACCAGGCCACAAAGGAGGTTACAGCTGCCATCTCATGTTTCCCTTCCTTCCATTTCTCATCACCTCAGCAGCAAAAGCACTGAGGTTTTCTGCAGAACAGCTCACCTCCAACAAGCACCTCAGGACTGAAGCACTGGGCTGAGCAGGAGCACTGCCCTCATTTGAAATCACCATAAATAATGTCTCCTCCTGCAATCCCACACATTTGCTCCTGAAGGCATCCAGGATTATTTTGCTTTCTTTACTTTGGAGAGATGTTGCCATTCTCCTTGAGCATTTAACACAGGGGGTGGGGGAATAGAGGGATGTTATCTTATTTGTACCTCTTATCAGGGGAAAATAAATCAGCTCACACTTTTAAACACAGATTCTTGGATATCCAAGTGTTCTGTGGTTTGGAGTTTTATTCCTTTTGCTGCTTAACATCAAAGATCACAGAATGGTTTGGGTTGAAAGGGCCCTCAAAGCCCATCCCATTCCACACCCTGCCATGGCAGGGACACCTTCCACTATCCCAGGTCTCTCCAGACCCATCCAACCTGGCCTTGGGCACTGCCAGGGATCCAGGGGCAGCCACAGCTGCTCTGTGCCAGTGAAAATCTATAATCTATAGGCTGTTCCACATTCTCTGTGAAAGTCTTGACTGGGCTTAGAAGATGACAATGAGTGGTTCTGCTGGCAGGTCCAAGAGTTCTGCTGAGAGGGGGAAAAGGGGAGGAAACAACACTGGAAGGCACCAGAACAAAATCTGGAGCACTGTCTGCCAGTCCAGGTGCAGCAAAACAGCAGACCCCCAGTCCTGCACTCCAGTTCCACCTCAGCTGAAACACACTCTGCTCCTCAGGAACATTTTCTAAACAGAATAGGTTGGGGGGGAGGGAAAAAAAAAAACAACAAAGGGTTCTGGTCAGCCCCAAGCTTTGTGGATAAGAAGTCCTCACACGACAACGCTGATCCTTTTCCTTGAAGAAGGAGAAATCAGTGATCCGGATGAAAATGTAATCCGTGCTCCAGCAGGAGCAGCTCCCGGCACAGCTGGCAGCAGGACACACCCCCAGCGCTGCTCCCTGGCCAGATGTGAAGCCGAGCAAACAAGGGCAGGGTGTGAGGCCCTGGGGTGGAGCTGGCAGGACCTGCCTCACCTGCAGCTTTACTGAGCCCCAGGGCACTGAGCAGGGACAGGAGGAGCTGCCAGCACAGCGAGGCACCTTCCAAGAAACAAAAATGCTTCATTTTATAAACCCCATGGAGCTCGGCATTAGAAGTAAATGCAAACTAACTGAAGAAGTAACTGCCTGTTAGAATATGCTTTAATTAAAAAAAAAAAAATGGAGCTTTACTCCAGAAATCCCAAACTACCTTGCACAAAGCACGAGGGGCAATGGAAGGGGCAGAAAAACCCAGAGCCAAATTGCTTGGTTCAATCTCTGCCCTGAGAAGCTGCTCCAGGATCCCTGCACACAGCAGGGATAGAAAAAGATCATCTTTAAGATCATCCCAATCCAAACCATTCTGTGATTCCAAGATTCCTCCATTCTGTAGTTTATGAATTCTCAGAAAATGCTTCACCATGCTTATTGCCAGCCTACCCATGAAAATTCAGTGATTCCTTTTTCCCTGTGCAGGACCTGCTCTGTTACAGGAGGAAAGGTTGGGACACTCTGGCCTCCACGTGCCCTTTGTTACCTGCTCTCCAGGTGAGGGGGTGGCAGAAATTCAACCCCTCATGCCTGTAAGAAAGAAGAGCCTGAGAGCACAGTCAGCAGGGAGGGGGGAGGAAAGCACCACATGTGACAACAGTGGAAGAAATGAAACAAAAGAGGACACAGATATTGAGTGGAATATTAACTCCTACCACTGGCTCTTCTTTCAACAGTAAAAAGAAATACATTTTCTTCCACCAATGTCATGTGGGAGAAAGCAGCTGAATTCACTGCTGCCTTCAAACATCCCAATTCAGGTAATGGATAATGACACAAAAAATGCAGCCACTTTCTGAAGTTGAGCTCGAGGCTGTAGGAGGCTACAGCTATAGAAAACATATTTTTCTCCTAATGGACAAGGTACACAAATGCCTTCCAGCCTTTTTAATGATTCCAGGCATCTAAAATTCAACTAAGTGCCTATTAGCAGAGCAGGGAGGGTTCATGTGACAGGAAGAATGACTCATCAGCCTGGCAGTGCCACACTGCTGCCCTGGCCTGGCCCTGCCTCCCACCTGCCCTGCACAGCTCCAGGTATGGACCCCAGGCTTCAGACCCCAGAAAGCCTCTTAAAAACAGTATCTGACTTCAGCCTGCTCTGCTGAGGCTGTGGGATAATTCTTTCCTAGATTCACTGAGAGATTTTAGCTTTTCAGGCAAGGTTCTGGCACTCGTGGCATTAAAAAACAAGACAGCCTTTAGAGCCATGCATTTACTTACTAAAACAACAGCTTGCCTGGGATTTTTTCACCAGACTGCTAAACCAACAGAAAACTGATTGATGGAACACTCGGGGATATTTATTTTCAAAAAAAACCCCCAGCATCAGAAGCCTGGCACTAAGCAGGACATCACCTCTGGTTGCCACTTGCCCTGACTGAGACCTGGCCTGTGTAAATACACAGCACAGCAGCATAAAAGTTGAAATCTTCCAAGCTGTTTGGAAATATTTCCATGTAAACTTTGAAGAAAGCATTTCCAATAAATACATTGGTTAATTCTTCCAAATTTCCTAAACTCAGCATATGGACTGCTGACATAGTTTTGAATCTTTATTTTTTAACTCCCATTTGCCAAGTTCTGAGGCTGCACATAAATACTCTTTACACTAAATCAGCATCACTACAAGCTTGGCCTTAGCAATAGATCACATATCATTACATATCTTCAGCCTTTTGGAAGTAAATTAAAGTCACTGCCAACTCTGAAAAGGAGAGTTGTTTTTACTGACTTTTGCTTTACTTAATTAAACACACCCTGATTTAAAATCCTGACTTTTGCCCAGTGTTGTTGCAAATTCCTCTAACTTAACATCAGCTTATTAATCAGCAGGAATAATGATAAGCTCCCAGAGAAGCCAACCCACATCCTTCAGCCCTCTCCCTGATGAGCAAATAACTATTTTCTCCCCTAGGTTCTTCCAGCCCATTTCCCTGGAGCAGTGCCACCCCGAGTGCCACCCAGCTCCTGCACTGGCACAGGTGTGCTGAGCACCTCTCAGGTGACACATCTGCCACCTGTGCCAAGCCAACCCTCCCTGGGGAGATGCTGAGCCCCAGGAGTGACCTCCCTGCATGTGCCAACCTGAGAATTTCTCCATGGAAAGGGTGCTCAGGGATTGGAACTGCCCAGGGGGGTTTGGATCCCCATCCCTGGAGTGTCCAAGGGATTCCTGGAGGTGACACTGAGTGCTCTGGGCTGGGGACAGGGTGGGGATGGGGCACAGCCTGGACTGGATGGGCTGGGAGGGCTTTTCCAAACTGACTCTGAGATTCTGAGATACTCCTCCCTTTCAAACAAAGGACTGAAAACTTTAATTTCATTTAAATTACTAAAATTATTAAAAGTGCCTCCAACCCCAAACCCCACGAGTTTTTCCCCAGCTGGAGCAGCAGCAGCAACCACTCCACGAGCCACCAAAAGGCAAAACCACAAATCAAAACCTATTTTATGTGCATAAAAATACAACCTGTGCTCGTGAGGGTGTTGTCCTGTGACTCACTGCAGCCAAGGGCCTGACACCACAGAAATATTCCTCAATCCTGGGAAAGAAGCTGCTCTAATTCCCCTGTTTCTCTTCAAACAGGGACTTAGACTGGTCTGGACAGACTGGAAACAAGCACTTGGGCCAGCACAGACCTGTGCCCACACACTGGCCTTAGACTTGAGAGATCAAGGTCTTAAAATGGGAAAAGTAGGTTTTAATCTTGGATAGCTGTAATTAAATTTCCCACACTTAAAGCGTAAGGCTTTCTCATAATATTTAGAATCAGATTAATGTTTTTCTGGATATTAGGGCATTACAGTAAGACTTGTAAACATTTTAAAACATCACATTTTTTTAAATGGTCATATGAAGAAGGTTAAGTATCTTCAAGGGGAAAAAATCCCATAGATTGTGCCACCATGGATCAAACTTGGATATTTCACAACAGGCAGGAACAAAATGATTGGACAATCTTGATTATTGAATTTTGCTCCCGATGACAAAGGATCAGAATTCACATTCACACAGAACTTTTGCTCCTTGCTTTCTGTATGGTTACTTCTAAGTCATGATGCCAAAGGCACAGAAAAAAGGTTCCTCATCTCCTGGGAGCACTTAGCAACCTAAAGCCCTCAGGGATTGTTCCTACAGCTCCTTCCCAATGGGGTTACTGAGCCCCACTGAATTTTAGTGATGAGAGAAAAGTTAAAAAAAGCCCAACTCAGAGTTCAACACCATCCTGATGCCTGAGATAAGGTTGTATTTCAAAGTTTGAATCAAAGCTATTTTCTCCTGCTGCACAAGCTGTGAGGTGACACTGGACTGCTGCTGTTCCCTGCCTTTCCCACATCCTTTGAGTTTTAGGGACAGAATGTATTTAAATTCTATAATAACTTTTTCACACAGAATCACTAAACCCTTGCAAACTTACCTGACATGTACTGTTGCCGACAGAGGTGGATGTTTTAGGGGAAAATAATCAGATTTTAGTCACCTGAGCACAGCTGAAGGTGGACAAGGGGCAGCTTCAGCACAACCTCAGAGCAGAGGCTGCACAAATAATTTTATTCTGCAATTTTTCTAATTTTACTGGGTTTATGTCAGTGGCATCTCCTATTCTGCTTACAAATAAAATAAAATATATAAATAAATATGCAAACAACCTACCCTGCAACTTTTCTTACCATTCTTATCTTTAGCCAGCACATCTTGCCCACTGCCAGGACCTCACTGAGGAAACAGTCACTGACATTTCTGATTCTAATTGCTGACATGAAAAGATTTGGGATGTTCTCATGTACTAGTTTCAAGCTGTGTGCCCATTTCAGCTGAAAAATTAAGCACAAGCTTAAGGTACACACAAGGCAGCAACTGATATCTGCCTCCCTGTTCCACTCCAGCCTCCCCAGATATTAAAGAAGCACTGTAGTCCTTCAGCATGGATTTAAACTCTATTCCCATTCTATCTCCAGCAATGTATTTCTTCTCCAGTTTTCACAGAACAAAAAAACAAACAAATGGAAAAATCCTTCTTCCTTATTTTTCCCATCGACACCTCCCCTTATGGAATGATTCATGATCCATGTAAACCTTCAACAAGTGGAACAGGAAGACACAGCACTTAAAAACGAATACATCTTCATTATTTAACACTCCCACCATTTCCCAGGTGGGTTTACATTACTCATACACCTCACATGTATTTTTGAATGCTCCAAGTGCAAAGCATGCCTGGAAAACACAGAGTGTAAACAAACCTGTTAAAGCTGGGCTATTTTTTCCAGAATGGAGGGTAATTTCTATTCCATGGACAAAACACAGTTCTGCCAGCTGAACTCTCAATCCAGGGTTATGCTGGAAAGGCTTTACGGCCCCTAATCCCAACAACATCCCTGTATAACTTTCCCAAAGGCAGATTGAAATGACAACAGGCTCTCAGCGTCCCTTTTTGGGGACAGCAATGCCTGGAATAACAGTGCCAGGGCGGGCTGCACTCTCCTTCTTCCCAAAGCTCTCCATTCCCACCTCCACAAGCACCTGGTCTGCAGAGGAGGATCCAAATCCAGCACTCTGACCCTGTCCCAGCCCTGTTCCCCGTGGAAGGTGCTGGGGAGGCTGAAATCCCTTCTCTAGAGTTTTAGTTTGATTTCACACGGAGCTGCACTTCCTCAGCGCCTGAGCTCAGACTCACATCGCCCAAAGGCATCACTGCAGGCTACTTTTTATCAGATTATTTAACGTCTGAACAAAGCCACGGGCTGGGAAGTTGGCTTTGGAAAATAAATCAGTGCACGCCCCTTGCACACTGCCCACAATGGTGAACAGACACGGGCTGGGAGTTTGCAGGAAAGAAAGAGGCTGCTGATGGAGCACAGCCCACATTCCCACATTTCTACATTCCCACATTTCTACATTCCCACATCCCACCTGCAGGGCTGAGGAAGGGGTGGCAGGGGAAACACACAGGTCTCAAATTCGGGTATGGATTTCTGTTGTGCTCAGACCATGGTCACTAACTCTCACCGTTGTTTTGGTTTTTTTTTCCTGGAAATACAGGCACTTGAGGAATCCTGCAAATATTGTACAGGTGCTGCTCCCACAAACACAAGGATACATCGGGAACCCATTCCAGAGTGAGGGTTACACATTCCTGGCATGCTAGGACAATCACATTTACCAGCACAGGAGCCACCTACCTACATAACCAACTCCATTAATGCATGACCCAAAAAAATTAGATTTTAAAAATTCCTCCACTGACTCATAACCCAGTAATTTAAATGATTAAATGAGCTTGTTGTGAATTTCTCCACTGACTGGGTCCTGTATTCACCTGTAGCCCTTGCAGCTATCACTTCACTATCAGTCTCTCTTCCTTAGCATATGGTACATTCATTATTGTGCATTCACACACATAGTAAGTTCCAAAATATGGGGAAAAAATTGACACTTTCAATGCTACAGAGATTCTCCCACTCTCTCATGCTCTCTTTATCTAAATCCCAACTGCATCTGCACAGCTTGCAGGGTTTTTGAAGCAACACAAGCATTAGGAGCCAGTTCAGTGATAACACACTTCACAGCAGGAATACCGGAGTTCTGGCAGAAGGCAAGGAAAGAGAAGCAATTTCTAAACAGTTGCACAAAAATAAATATATTTACATGTGAGAATCTGCCTCTCACTCCAGTTAAACCAGTGGCTCCACAAGCCTCCATTATGTGCTTGTCTTTAGCAGTGCAAATCTCCCCTAATCTCTGCAGATGAGTCTGCCCTGGGTCTGCCCGAGGTGTGAGCAGACACAACACTGAGCTGGCAAACAACAGCTTTACACACCCCTCCGGGAGAGAATCAGGAGTAACACCAGGGCAGTGCACAATCCCTCAGCAATTGTGTCACCCGTCCCCACGGCTCTGGAGATGGGACACGCTGCAGATCCCTTGGGAAAAGGCGTTTGTAGAGACACTTGTTGGGATCAACACCATCAGTGGGACTGTGCCAGGAAAGGCGATTAGTGAGAGACTTGGTTATCTGTCCCTAGCAGGTCCCAGAACAACACAAAGAGATTTGTCGTTGTAAGTGAGCACATCTGTTTTGCACTGAGAAAAAAAAAAAAAAAAGAAAAAAAATAAAAAGAAAGCCTAAGTTTTACTTAACTTCTACATTTCCAGTATGTAAAAACACGGAGCTGTCAGATGAGACAAGTATTCCATCCCATGGGATGGTGGATCTCGAACTCTGCCGAGCCAGAGCCTACCCACGCTGGGAATGCTACCCAGGAAAAGTCACAACACAGCGATTTCTTGGGAGAACCTCTCTTCAGCAGAGCGAGCTGCTTTGAGGGAGTTCTCCATTACTCTGAGTACAGAATTCTCCGTGTCTGATGTCAGAAAGGCGCCTGCCAGAACTGGGTCACACCGGGGGGCCCAGCCGAGCCCCGGCCCTTCCCTGGGGCCACACAAACGGGAGGCAGCAGGAGAAGAACGAGCCCAAATCCCGAGGGAGCTCTTCAAGGCCAGCCCTCGGCCTAGGGGGGGTTCAGAGGAGTCCGCACGTCAAAGGCAGAAGGAAACTAACGGTGACCTCGGCTCGATGCCGAACGACACCGTTCCGTGCCGGGGAGGGGGGAGAAATGACCGGCGGGGTCAGCGCCTTGCGCCAAGGTCGGCATTGGGCAAACACCGGCCCCGGACACACCCGGCAAACACCCGGCCCCAGGACAGAGCAAACACCGGCCCCAGCACCGGGCAAACACCGGCCCCGGCCACACCCGGCCCCGAGCCGGCGGGGGAGCGGCTCCGCGGCCGAACCCGGCCCGACCCCTCCGGGGAAGACCCGCGGCCTCCGCCCCGAGCGCTGCCGCCAGCGCAGGCCCCGCCGCCGGCCCCGCCAGCCGCCCGGCCCCGCCGCCCCTCACCTGCTGGTAGCGGCCGGTGCTGGGCTCGGCGGCCGCGGCCGCCATGGCGCTGCGGGGTCGGTGCGGGCGCTGCGCAGGGAGGCGGCGGCGGCGGCGGCCCGGGCGCTGCTCGCTGCGGGCTCCGCTCGCTCCCGCCCTCCCCGTCACGCTCGGCCGCGCCGCCTCCCGCCCCGCCCGCCGCCGGAGCCGCCCCGGGCCGCGGGCAGCGCTCCTGGAGGGGCCGCGGAGTCACAGGAACGCTGAGGGTGGGACGGAGCGGCGACACCATCGAGGGAAGGCTGTGCCTGATGCCCACCTTGATACCAGCCCGGAGCTCTGAGTGTCATCTCCAGCCATCTCCTTGAGCATTCCAGGGATGGGGACCCAAACCTCCCTGGGCACCTCCAGGGATGGGGACCCAAACCTCCCTGGGCAATTCCAATCCCTGCCCACCCTTTCCATGGGGAAATTCCTGCTGCTGTCCACCCTGAGCTCCCCTGGCCCAGCCTGAGGCCGTTCCCTCTCCTCCTGTCCCTGTTCCCTGGAGCAGATCCCAAATCCCCCCCGACTGTCCCCTCCTGTCAGGGAGTTGTGCAGAGCCACAAGGTCCCCCCTGAGCCTCCTTTTCTCCAGGCTGAGCCCCTTCCCAGCTCCCTCAGCTCCTTCCCAGCTCCATTCCCTTCCCTGGACACGCTCCAGCCCCTCCATGTCCATCCTGAATTGAGGGTTCCAGAACTGGACACAGCACTCCCAGTGTGAGCTCAGCAGTGCCAGCACAGGGGACAGTCCCTGCCCTGCTCCTGCTGCCACACTATTGCTGAGGCAATATTGCTGTGCCATCGTGTTCAGCAAACAGCACCCCCAGATCCTTCTCTGCTGGCCTGGTTTCCAACCAGGACAGCTCCACTGGGGCTGGAGGGTGACCAGAACCAGCCCAGAGCCCAGCTGTGTGTGGGGACCCGGAGTGCAGGAATTCCCTGCAGGAATGCTGAGAGCCAGCAGCATGTCCTGGCACCACCAGAGCTGCAGGAGTGACCCCACAAGCTCCGTGCACTACATATAATGCACATTGTGAAACTCAAGTATCATTTTCAGAGTGGAAGCTGCCGTAGGATGTGTTAGTGAAACCTAGGGAATCAGGAAATTGATAGAAAGCCACGCTGACAAATAATGCTGTCTCAGCAAGGACACACCAGAGCCAGCACTGAGAGCCCAGCCCTGTCTGAGCCACTCTGACCAAGCCTGGGTCACACATGACCCCACCCATCCCTGGCCCACAGATTGCTGCACCAAACACGAGGTGTTGGCCTCAGCTCTTCCACATCCACACGGAGCAGATGGTGTTGAGCTCCTTCCTTCCCAAAGGAGCACGTGTAGGAAGCCACGCAGCGAGAGAAGTTGGTTTGTTCTCAGTTCTCCAGTGTTATATGGGCCAAAAGACTTCTCAGCTTGTGCAACGTTTGTTTTCTATATGCGCAGTTCAGCTCTAGTTAGGCTTGCACAAAATTACCCACATCAATCCCTAAGGTGGATGAGATTTAAATATATCAGCTTTTGGATGAGGAAGGCTGAATCAGCCCCGCTGGGATTCCAAACTGCAGATTCAGAGAGTTGCAAGCACTGAAGCCCGAGGACATGGTTTTGAACTGCACACTCAGTCATAAATACAGGCCTCAATGCTCATTATTCCGTACCATAATCAGCCTGGATCCTTTCCTGCCTGCATTTTGCCTTTGAGGGGTAGGGAGTTCATCGATGTCTTAGTGAGATGAATGAACATCCCATGCTGAAGGAGAGGCAGGAACCGTGAAGGATTTTAGCCATGAATAACCTCAAAGAGTGACTCCTGAGAAATGCTGGAGACACAAGGCAGGGTTCTTGCAACACAGGTGCCTTTGAAGGAGCTGGGACAAGAGCTGCAGGCACTGACAGACTCTGGTTTCACCTTTCCACAAGATTCACGATTTGCACTGAGAATTTCCCTGCAGTGAGGAGCTGTCCTGATGACATGCATGGATTTACTCACTGCTCAGGTGGGATTACATCCCTAAGTAAGGCTGTAGCAGCAGTGGTAATTAGCTGCACAGTGATTGGCTTGGACAACACAGAGACTAAAATAAGATGCAAACTGTGCATGTCCTCAGAGAAGATGCTGGAACGTATCCTGGAGAAATGGTGAAACCATTTGTGTCAAAGCCATTTTGGGGCCAGTGGAGGCAAATCACAGCCTAATTATTCCATCTAGTCTGAGCATGACTGATTCCAGAGGGGCAAGGGCAGTTTCTTCCAGCTGCTCTCCCTGTATTTATTTTTATTTTCTTAGGTGGGGTAGCTCAGTAGAAAGATGATGCTGTGGTTACAGCACATGACTGGTTCTGCTTTCATTTCCCAAATGGTTTGAGGCAAATCACTTCATGCCTCTCCTGTGTTTTTTTCGTCTTTTTCTCCAGTACAAAATGTCTTTTCTCCCAAGAGACACTTGAAGCTTGAAGTCATTGATTTTAGTGACTTCCGTACGGGATGTGCTGGGAAAGTATTTGAAAGCAATTGAAAGTATGACAGAAGTGAAATTGAGTGAATTCTCTGAAATCTTGGAGCTGCACATGTGTTCCTTTAATTATTGTGTACAACTGAGCAATAAAAGGAACACTTTTAATCTGCACTTTGTAATAAATATTGAACACTAAAAGCTAAATAATAAACCTCAAAAGCAGGGCGTGTAAGCTAAACTAGTAAGAACTGAGCAGGACATAAAAACTAGATCTTTCTTCTAACTTTTTAGTGCTAAATTTCCCAATTAAAAAAAAATCAAAATGTTCACGTGACAAAACCTTTTCATCATCAATTCGAAAGTACCCCTGTGTCCCTGGAGGCAGAGACACTCCATGTGCAAGAATTGGATTCTTGGTTTGAATGTACATCGGTGTCATTTCCCACTGTGCAATAACATCCTGAATTAGAGTTGTATAATTAAGCTGGCGAGATTTGTTAAGGATTAATAAATGCTGTCTAACAGATGCTCCTCCCCCAAAACATCATTTGGCCACAAAGACTTTTTGTGCCTGGGACCATCTTGTATTTGAATCATTTTTTATCTTTTTGCCCAAAAAAGCCAAGCTGTGGCTGGCCCATCCCTGGAAGTGTTTAAGGCCAGGTTGGATCGGGCTTGGAGCCACCTGGGATGGTGGAATGCTCATGGCAGGGGGTGAAACTGGATGATCTTAAGGTCCCTTCCCACCCAAACCATTCTGTGACCCTGCCCAAGGAAGCTGCCCCACTGCCTTGGAAGCAGCAGGTTCTGCAGGTGTGGGCTCTGTACGGGGTTTTGGACACTCAGGCAGCTGCAATTTTGGTGTTTGTTGCAAAAACAAAAGGCACTGGGTCACATCAGGTCTGCTGGAACGAGCAGAGCCCCAGCGAGCACAGCCACACATCCCACAGCCCGTGCAGAGCAGGGTGGAAGCACTGCCTTGGTCACTGGGATGGAAAATTATGGCCCAATAAACCACGAGTACTGTGAGGAGGAGGGATGAAAACAACAGCAGCATTGAGTTGGGAGATTTTCCCAATGGGAGTTCTCTTCCTCTGAAACCCAGCAGCAGAAGGAGGGGTGGATCTGGAGTGCTGCAGTGAATTGTGCTGGATGATGCACAGGGCAAGGCAGAGCTGAGCTCCAAATTACCTCAGTCCAGCCTGACTTTAGGGGCCCCAACTCACTGCTTTCACCAATGTCCTTTCTTGCTCTGTTATTTCTTCAGCCTACTGCAGAAATCACAATTAACCAGTGGTTAATTTAACCTTGCTATCCAGATTAAATCCCTTACTGCTTAGACTGGCTGTTTTGAACATGGTGAGGAATGAAGTCCTGACAGCTTTGTCATGGGAACCTCACCTGAAAAAGGGTCTGGCATGGGTGCTTTCATGCATTACCCTACACATCTGCTTGTTGTGACCCCAAAAATATCCTAAATAGGATTTGAGTGCTGCTGGGACAGCTAAGATGTGAGTGGGGCTTGCAGGAAAGAACAGCTCCCCTCCAGATCTATTATTTCTCCTTTTCTTATAAATTGGGGTCAGAAGGTAAATGGAACATGCTGGAGCAGGAAGAGGTGACTGACGGTGTATATTAAAAAGCCTCTTTAATTACAGGATTTGGAGAGAGGATTCTTCATGGAGATAATTTTTTAATTGTTGCTGTTTCAGGAAAGAATCCCAGTGCTCCCAAGCAGTTCCCAATAGCAAAAGCCCTGGTCTGTGAGCACTGCTGACTCTGATCCCTTCAAGATGGGGCAAAAGGAAATGCTGTGTTGGTTAGAGCTCCCCCATTAAACTTCAACTTCTCCTGAAGAGAAGTGTTTGTTTCCTTCCATCTGCTGCTTTTGCAAGGAAGGAAAATCAGCCTGTTCAGACACCAGGAAGTTCTTCAGCATGGGAACAGCTCGCTGTAAACGCAGGAACAATAACGGGTAGAAATTATCATACCTAAAAATACCCTGCATGCGAGTCACACGCCTGAGCCGGCCCCGGAGCAGCTCGGAGAGCGCGGGGTGCTTGGAGCGTGTGGATCCGGGGGATGTGCTGGGTGTGAGCAGCGCGGGGGCACCTGCCCGCCTCTGCTGCAGGTTTTGCTTCCACCAAAACATGTTTTGCTTTTACAGGGAGCTGTCGGCTCCTCCTGCATCTCTGTGCACTGCGGTTGCCACTCACCGGGGAGATGAAAGCCAAGACCCTGTGCAGTCAGAGCCTTCCAACACTTTGATTTCACCGAACCCGTCCCCACAAAATCTGTGTGAGCAGCTGGGGGGGCTGCAAAGCCGCCGGCAAAGGCAGCAGCTCTCCACAGCCCCAGGTGAGCCAGGGCAGGTGAGGTGGCAGGCAGGGGATGAGGTGACACTGTCCACAACCCGCAAGTCACCCCGGGTGTTGCCCTAAATCTCACCGCCGAGGGAGGTCCGTGCTGTCTCCTGCCATCAATTCCTACGCGGGCAGTGCCTCCAGTATTTGCTTTTCCCAAATTTCCGAGCACTGGCCGCGTTTCCAGGGTAACGCCGAGCGATCCCGTGAGAGCTCTTTGCACAGTGCCGGTGCTCTCTCCGTGCCGAGCCCTGCAGAGTTTTGGCTTTGCACACCGGGAGCTGCAGTTGTGCCACAATTGGGGTGATGTGGGAACTCGCAGGTGTGTGTGCAGGCCAGGTGTGTGTGCAGGCCAGGTGTGCGTTCACCAGGTGTCCTTCGTGCCCGCCGCATCCTGGAGAAAGGACTGAAGCATCTCCAGGACGGGAAGGGTGCAGACCTCAGCCTGGTCGCCATCCTCTCCATCCCAGCGGTGACAGCCCCCAGTGAGCCCAGCACCTCGGTCCTGTGCCTCTGAACCCTCCTGTGCTGTGATTCCTGCCAGTGGAAACCATGGGACTGTGGCACCGAGATGGCCCCGATGGCACAAGTGAAGATTTGTGTCCCACAGAGCCAGAGCCCGGGCTGCCCTGCCCTGCCCTGCGGGGGAATGCCGCTGCTGTCAGCTCCTCACCCGACACCAGGCACCGAGAGAGCTGCCCGTGGGCTGACACCGCTCATGGAAACACACGGCCATGGAATTTGTTTAGTCTCTGTGGCCTAAAACTCTTCCCGTGTCTGCCCACAGCCGGCACACCCATCACTGCCCGTCCCAGCGCTAACCAAGGCTCTCCAGCGTGAGACAATACCGGGAGCACTGCTTCTCGCCAGGTCATTTAAATTATTAAAATGAGAAGAAACTGCGTGGGCTGGATCCCAGCAAAGCAATTTGTAGCTCATTCTTCCTTCTGATGAAATTGAAAATCGGACTAACTTTGAAGTAAGAGCTTTGTATCCCAACAATGAACTAAGCCTGTGCAAGGAGAGGTCGGGCACATTTTCATGAGAGCTTGAAGGCAGCTGGAGCAACAACAGGAAGGTGGTTTGGGGATACCACTGTGCCAGGAGCAGCAAGGACAGAGATCGTGGTCTCTCCATCCCCCAGAACGACCCCAACATGCCCCGAACTGAGTCCCTACAGAGCAGTTCACGCGTGAGAGCAGCTCGTTTTGGTGGGAGAAGGCTGGGAGCTTCACTTTTAGGGCTGAAAAGCTGAAGGACAGATTCGAGTGGATCCCTGCTGTGATGGTGACACCCCAGCAGAACCACACCGAGATATTTATGGCCTTTTAAACGCATTTGAAGGAAACACTGCTTCCCACAGCTTTGCCTGGACAACAGGAGCACTTGGAGTGCGGTGACTGATTCACCCGAGCAGCCGCAGCTCATCATTCCCGGGTGGATCCAGCTGAATTCCAGCAGCACCGGATCATTCCCGCTGGATCCATCCATTGTGTTCAATTCCACCCACACCGGATCATTCCCGCTGGATCCATCCATTGTTCCCAATTCCACCCACACCGGATCATTCCCGGTGGATCCATCCATTGTTCCCAATTCCACCCACACCGGATCATTCCCGCTGGATCCATCCATTGTTCCCAATTCCTCCCACACCGGATCGTTCCCTGTGGATCCGCCCGTCCCTCTCAATCCCAGCCGCCCGCTCCGGCCCTGCCGGGTTCCCTCCCGCGGGGCCGGGCCCGGCGCTCTCCGCCCGCCCACGGGGCCGGGCCCGGGCGGCTCCTCCCGGCCCACGGAAGTGATCCCGGACAGGGGCGAGCCGGGAGGAAGCGGAGATTTCCAGCAGAGGTGATCCCAGAGGAAGCGGAGATTTCCGGAGGCGGCGATCCCCGACGAAGGCGATCCCGGGAAGGCAGCGGCGGTGCAGGGCGGCCCCACCATGAAGTTGATCATCCTGGACAATTACTCTCAGGCCAGCGAATGGGCGGCCAAGTACATCCGTAACCGCATCGTGCAGTTCGGGCCGGGCCCCGGGCGGTTCTTCACGCTAGGGCTGCCCACAGGTGGGTGCCGGGTGCCGGGGAGCGGGGCCGGGGCCGAGCTCGGGCCTTGCCCCGCCTGAGGCGGCCGCTCCCCGCAGGCAGCACCCCCCTGGGCTGCTACAGCAAACTGGTGGAGTATTACCGCAATGGAGACCTCTCCTTCAAGTACGTGAAGACTTTCAACATGGACGAGTACGTGGGTGAGTGCTGTGCTGTCGCTTTTGTCCCTGTCCCGGAGCTGCTGGGTCCTTAGCCCGGCAGGGCCTGGCGGTGCCCGAAATCCACCTGTCCAGGTAAGGGGGATAACATTTCACAGAGCTACAGCATCAGCTGGGATGGAAAACACCTCTGAAATCATCGAGTCCAACCTATGATCCCACACCACGGCACTGTCCAGTCTTTCCTTAAACACCTCCAGGGAATTAGCAAAGGGGGACAATTTGAAAACCTATGGAAAAAATTAGAAATTTTTCCATAGGTTTGAAAACGTATGGACAAAAGTGGATAGTGGGTGTTGCCCATTATTTCACACACTTACAGACACTGAGCTGCACTCAGGTATTGACCAGGTAAGGAACAGCTTATCACTGCAGGCTCAGTGTGCAGCATCAACTTCACCCTTTGCTCTGGGATTATAAAGGTCCCCTGCAAGGACCAGTGTGTTCCCTCAGTGCCCTCTGGTATCTCCTGCTGAGACTGTCATTTCTGAAGTCATGGTGAAACAGTCTTCTCAGAAGAAACAGATCCAAAGGTGAAAACACACAGGCTAAATATTTGCTAATGCTAATTTTATCCTGGTCAAGAGGTTGGTTTTTTTTCTGTGAATAATCCCAATCAAGCAGCATTAGGGAATAAGCAGTCCAGTGTGGGTTTACAGCAGTCAAGGAGGGTAAATATGCAATAATTACAGCATAATTATTATTTCCCAGGCTTCTGCATTTTTTTAATAATTCTTATTAATATGAAATGGGGAGCAGGCTGAAAAGGTACTGACAGATGAGGCACAGCACACCCCTACTTTTTGAGTAGCTGTTGTATGTTAATATGGGCACATGTCTTACAGGAGCTGATTTTAATTCTGGTATTTAGGGAAATAAAAACAACTCTGAAAGCTGAGGGCATGACATCACCAAAGCCCCTGCAGGGGTATGGGAGTGCTTTGTTATGGGTGATTCTGGTCCAGTTGGCCTCAGTCCTGTGTGTTCTGTCACCAGGTCTCCCGAGGGATCACCCAGAGAGTTACCATTCCTTCATGTGGAATAACTTCTTCAAGCACATTGACATCTCACCAGAAAACGTCCACATCTTGAATGGAAATGCCCCTGATCTCCAGGCAGAGTGTGATGCATTTGAGGAGAAAATCAAAGCAGCTGGAGGCATCGAGCTCTTTGTTGGAGGTGAGAACCCGAGAGCAGCAGCTTCTAAACCCTGTCCCAAAGCTGTGCCTGTCCCCCCCAGTTCTCATTTACAGTCAGGATTGTTCATTTTCAGTGCATTTGCAGTGAAATCCACCCCACAGTCCATGGCCCTGGGCACTGCTGTGTCCTGGCAGCCTTGTGCAGTCAGTGAATTGTTCAGGAAATGTTAGCAGGAGGAATGGGAAGGACTAGAACTGTACAAATATGAAGTGTTTCTCAATTGTCAGTAGCAACAGGAAACTGCTGGGAGTAGCTTTTCCCACACAAGCTCTTCCCATCAGTTTGCCATAAGGTTCTGCCACCTACTTTGCTTTGTTGTTGTCCCAGCACAATCAGGGAGGTACCTGGTGACTTCTGAGGGGGCTTTTGCTCTACCAGACACCAATCTGAGCTGGAGCAGAGGAATTGCAGGGCTCTGTGTTCCTGGGAGCACTGCCTGTCCTTCTCCTGGCCCTGCTCCCCCAGCTGACTCTGCTCTGCTGTCCCTGTCCCAGGTATTGGCCCCGATGGCCACATCGCCTTCAACGAGCCAGGATCCAGTTTGGTGTCCAGGACACGAGTGAAGACCTTGGCCATGGACACCATACTGGCCAATGCCAGGTTCTTTGATGGTGACCTCTCCAAAGTGCCCACCATGGCTTTGACAGTTGGAGTAGGCACTGTCATGGATGCCAGAGAGGTGAGGAAAGAAGAAGTGGCTTCCTGCAGTCCCTCTGGAGCAGCCAAAGGTTATCCTGTTGTGGAGCAGCCACGTGTCCTCTGGTGTAGGGAATTCCTGCCACAGAATGCCTGATCCTCTTGTCCTCTGGCATCCTGCAACACCATGGAGCTCTTGCTCTATCTCTGCTGGCACTTGTGTTTGTGTAACCCTGCAGCAGCTGTTCCCCCCAGGAGTCAGGAAAGTTTGGGAGGGTGTCTTTGGTTAGGATTCTCACCTGGAGAGGAACTGCAGAAATCAGGTTGAGTTGCTGTCACATCAGCTGGTCATGAAAACTGTGTGGGACCACTTTTACTGGAGTCTATTCCTTGATTTCCACTTGTTTAATCTCAGTGTACAGGTGCCCAAAGGATCGTTCCAGTGACCCACCAGACTGTGATTCCATTGAGAGCAGGAGCAGCACAGAGAAGTGGCTGTGGGGAGGGTGACAGGGATGTCCCCATTGGCAGGGTGTGGTTGGGCTCTCCCTGACCCCCTGTTCCAGGCCCTGACTGCCCCTCTCTCTGTGCCTGGCGGTGCAGGTGATGATCCTGATCACAGGAGCCCACAAAGCCTTTGCTCTGTACAAAGCCATCGAGGATGGTGTGAACCACATGTGGACAGTGTCAGCCTTCCAGCAGCACCCCAACACCGTGTTCGTGTGTGACGAGGATGCCACGCTGGAGCTCAAAGTCAAAACAGTGAAATACTTCAAAGGTGAAGTTTGAGCAGGCCAGAAAACTGTTTTGTTACATTTTTAGGAGCCATGAGCCATGCTTTGCAAAGGTGTTGCTGTATAATTAACTAACAAAGGAGTATATTCCTTACATATACCACAGTAGTACAAGTGTGATGCTTAATGCTTGGGTGGGAGTAAAGGCACAAGGACAACAGTAATGTCTAATTCAATTAGCATCCAATGAAGAAAAACTTTATTATGTCTACTTAAATTGTCTTTTGACTCTCCATCAGGTTTAATGCTGGTTCACAACAAGCTCGTGGAGCCCTTGTACAGCATGAAGGAGATGGAAACAGAGAGGAGCCAGTCCAAGAAGCCATACAGTGATTAATGTGCTGGGGCAGTGCTGAACCAGCTGCTGAAAACAGCTGGGAGAAAAGGGAATTGCTGCAGAAACTGATCTCATATTTGTTTTTAAATTAGCAGAATGATTGTATGGTTCCTTCTCTCCATTAAAGAGACAGATGCCAAACACCTGCCTTAATAAACCAAAGGAGGATGGGATCCAGTGTTCTGTGCCCCACAAACTTCTGCCACCAACTCATTCTCTGAAGGAAATGAAGAACGAGTTGTTTGATCTGTGAACTGACTGTAATCACAGACTGAAGGCTGCAGAACTGAAATGTGAGGATAAATGAAAGTCCAACGTTGCAGAAACAAGTGGGTGATCACTTTGGGGTGTATTCCTTGCAATTAGGACAAGTACCTCATGTTATTCCTTCCTCCTCCAAGAAACACTCTTCCATTAGAATCCTGGAGAAAAGGATTGTCCAGCTGGAGAAGGGGAAGCTCAGAGAACCATGAGAGAGCTGCAAGAAGATGGGGCCAGGGGGAAGATGAGAAAGGACAGTGGGGCCTGAGTGGAGACACGATGCTCACGCTGGAGAGGATGAAACCCCACTGTGGGAACAGCCAAGCAGTGAGACAGGATCCCCAGGGCTGGGCAGGCCCTCTCCTTAGGAGGTTGCCCAGACCTGACTGAGCCCTGCTTGAAGCCACATGTTGGACTTGAGACCCCTCAGCAGAAGGGGCTCCAGCAGCATCCCCCACACGGGGGGGTTCAGGCGCAGCTCAGGCACCTGAGGATGTCACTGTTGTCACACACAGAGCCCTTGTTCATGTTCAGGCCCAGGTGTGATTTGCTATGCCTGGTGCTCTCTCTTCTCCAGAATTTTCCATTTCTCTGAGGAAATGCCAAACCAGCCCCAAAGGAAACACTGGCTTCAGCCTCTGTCCAATTACAGACACCCCACACCCATGGACAACAGCTAAAACCTCACCAATTCTGAAATGTGATTCCTGGGATTCCTATCCAGTGCTCTCACACGAGGGGCAAGAAAACTGGGCAACATTTATTTTCTTTATACACAAATTTTGTAAATTGTTCATCTGTAATGTAACTTCCTTCACTAAATGTCTTTAATTTTTTTAAAATGGTGACATTTGACTGTATCTGGTGCTCGGTCTCAGTGGGCTCATGGTACCAAAGCTGTCCTGGAGGCAATTTGGTGGAAAAAGCTCCTGCTGCTCCCCCCTTTGCTTGCCCAGTGTTTTCTCTGGCAGGTTTTTCTCTGAGGGAAAAGCAGGGTCCTTTGCATGCATGGAAATCCCATGAGCAGCTGCAGGTGGGAGCTCTGGGCTGTCCCATTCCCAGCAGCAGCACCTGGGCACACCTGTGCTGCCAAATCCATGCCAGAAGGAAGACAAACAGGGACACTGTGTTTACCATCTTAAAGTGAATTTAGTGCATGTGAAAGGTGCAGGAAATACAACTCAAACCATACACAACATACACTTTTCCTACACACTGACCTAGAGCTTCAGCTGAGGTGAGATTTGCTCCTCCTTTCATCTTTTTAATCTCTGTGCCAGTTCCAGCAGTGCAGACTCTTCCTCTGCAGAGGGAACTGAAGCACTGTTCATTTTGGCCACACATCCCAGGATAAATTTATCAACTCTCAGTCAGAACTGAGTGAGCTGTGACCACCCTGAGTTCCTGAGGAGTCTCAGCTCCAGAGCTTTCCATCCAGGCCCCGTTGCTCTTGAACACAGCACATGCAGCTTTAGTTTCCAAATAAGCTTTTAGACTGTTCTGCAAGTGGAAAAGGTTGTTAAAAATCAGTGTTCACCTCCAGTAATCACCTTCATACTCTCAAAACCACTTGCTGAGATTTTAGGAGAAACAATTTTGTTTCAGAAATAATTTGAATGGAAATAAAGTATCTAGTCCAGAAGCAAAAGTATCAACAATCTAATTTCTTATATGAAGAGTTAATAAAAAATAAATTACTTCATAACACAAGTTAATAGTCAGTATCTTGAAGAATTCAAGTTCATCTCTTCCTGATACTTTTCACCCTTTCACTGGTCACATCCTCAGCTCACTGCTTTGGCACTCATCCCTGCCAAAACAAGGACAGGCAACGTGAGGGAATCCAACAGCACACTGGGAGTCACCAACCTCACAGAAATCCCTGGAAGTGGCTGTTGGTCATTTTCTGCCCAAGCTCTCAGGAATGCAAAGGCCCAGGCACAGCAGCAAGAGAGAAAGGTTGGGGATAATCAGCTTTAATGTCATTAGTACCAGTGACAGAGCCAGGAGCTGCTTTTCAGAGAAGCACATCAAGAAATTAATAACAGCAACAAACTTTGTTGCTGAATACAGAAATTTCCTGTATTGTATCAGAAAACTCCCCCAGTCCAAGCAGCTCCAGAGAGAGCACTACAGCTCCACCAAACCACCCCAAACCCCACAATATTCACCATCCAAGAGTCTCCAAGGGTCAGTCTCCCTAAAGGAAACCCCCAAAATACTTCCAGGATTTGAGGCTTCAGCTTTGTCTGCTGGCTTTTAAAAAAGGGGCACCTCTTGGTATATATTTTTCCAACAGCTTTCCAATTTCTGACTTGTTTAATAATAGACATGTTTGTTTGGGCATTCCATGATGATCCTGATCCCAGGATGGGGAAAAGTCTCCTTTGGTTTTGGCAACAGGCTCTGAGGTGTGAGTGTCCTGCACTGCAGGGCAGTTACCACTCTTCTGTCACACAATGGAAAAGCAAACAAAAGACACACAAAAAGCATCTGTCTGTGGTTTGTTCACCTTTTGGTGCTGGAGGAAGCTACTGATCATCATCTTCCACTTCCCAGAACTCTCCATCTTCGATGTGCATGGCTTGAAACAATCTGCAAGATAGAAAATCAGTGTTATCAGGGTGTAAAAAAAGTCAAATGTGTTGAAAAAAGTATCACCCTAAATGTAACAACACTACAGCAAGTTCCCCTGGTTTTTTCAGTATATCAAACCACCCTCTGTGCCCTTTGGAAGGGCCAAGAGAGGCTGCCATTGTCACCCTCCTGTGACCTGCCTGTCACCTGTCCCTTGGCTCTCCTCCAAGGGAATGTGAGGCAAATCTGCAGCTCCTCAAAGCAGCTCTTCCCCAAATCCTCGAGCTGCTCCTGAGCAGTGGCAGGGAAGCCCTTGCAGGCTGTGGCCAGCAAAGGGTGAGGTCATGACCTGACTAAAAAAATCAAGAATAGGCTCAGAAGACTCCTCCAGAATTTTAAACCCAAAGTTTTTAAAAAGCAAAACCACATCCTGAATCACTCCTGATTTTTACTGTTAGTGCAAATATCGGAGAGGAGAAACTAGGTCTTAAACTGTAGCTAAAAATTACAGTCAGAATGTGGGAGAGGCTGTAAGGAAAAGTAGAGAAGAGGTGTTGCAGCAGTGGAGGAGGTCCCTGAAGCACCGACCTGTTGAAGCAGGGGGAGGAGGGGTCACTGAAGTGCCGGTAGGGGTTGGCCCGGGACAGGGAGCCCATGCAGAGCCAGCAGAAATACTGCATGCACCCTGTGCAGGTCATCTTGTTACAGCCATCCAGTTTCTGGGGGAAAAAAAACCCAAGAAATGGTGAGAACAGAACTCCACTGTGGCAGGCTTCAGTCCCTCTCTGCCCTCAGAACCACAGCAGTCAGTGAACACATCCCCCCTGGCTCCTGGTGCTGACATTTTCACTGGGAGCTGGAATCCCAGCACTGGAAATTGGTTATAATACTAAAAACACTGGGAATTAGTATTTTTCTGAAGCTGAATTGATTTCCTGGCTCTAGTGTGAACCAGAGAACTGGAAAACAAAAGGTTTCATACAGACCCAGAGTCAGCCTGGACCTGTTCAGTGTGGGGGCCTGACCAGCAGTCACTGTTTGTACTCCAGTCCTTGGGATCCACAAATATCACCTCGCCTCCTTTTCCATGTCACACAGAACTGCAAAGTCCTTGCAGAATTTCCTAGAGATCTCCTCTCCCTAGAGGCTCCAGCACACCCAGAACTGCCTCCTTGTGGGTTATTTTCTATTCCATGGATCCTTTCCCTCCTCACTCACCTCGATGTGGGTCCCACAGCAAGGACAAGACTTGGAGTTCTTTTCCAGCCATTCCTTACTCTCCATCTCCTCCAGGGCTTTCTGAATCACTCTCTTGCCATAGCGTTGTTCCAAAAATCTTTTACTTGTCTCATCTGCTTCTAAATATTCATTCCTCAAATCCATTAATTTCTCTAAGGGGCAAATCAAACCAGACCAGTCAGCTTTTGTAAGATATTAGACATAGAAGTCCAGCTAATTGTAGCATAAAGATGCTCAAAGAAAATAATGTCATGAATTAAAAAGCAAGAAAACTATTAAAATACATAAGATAATAATATTAAAACAACTCTGCCCCAAAATTCAGTAGTTTTACACTCTTTTATTATAAAAGAGATCTGTTGATGAAATTAGAATGTCAAGTAAAAATGGAATTTTTTTTCCTGACTGTGTATTTAATGAAATTCTGTCACAGGATTTTGAGGCCAGACAGAGAGAGAAACCTCCACCTAATTCCAGCATTAACTCTGACAATACAAAGCAGTGAAAATATAAAATAATTCTTTCCCTGCTACAGCCTCTCAGCAGTTGACAATCAGCAGTTTAGGGAGCTCCTGAGCTGAGGAGTCTCACCAGAGGAATATTTAATTACCAGCAACAGCCCTCCTCCAAAGGAATGCACCTTTCAAAAGCTCAGGGCGAGGAGCTCCCCTGCTCAACTTCTGCCTTTTCCAGCCAAGATTTTGAGCGTGGGTGTGACTGTGGAGCCCAGGGGGAGGGGACTCACCTGCAGTGACCTTGCAGGGGGACACCCCGTGGTAAGTCATCCTGCACAGGGTGCAGAAGGCGTAGTTGCAGCAGGAGCAGATGCCCATGGTGCAGCCTGGCTCCTGCATCACGGGGGTCTGGCAGCCAGGCCGGGGACAATAAACCACATCAGCCATGAGGTCCAGGCTGGACTGCAGCAGCAGGCGGTCATAGCGGGCAAACAGCTCCTCCCCAACCAGCTCCTTCACCTGCAAACAGCCAGCTCAGGAAAATCCTTCACCCACACCCACTGGGGGCCTGGCACAGGGTGCCCAGAGCAGCTGGGGATGCCCCTGGATCCCTGGCAGTGCCCAAGGCCAGGCTGGACATTGGGGTTTGGAGCAGCCTGGGACAGTGGGAGGTGTCCCTGCCATGGCAGGGGTGGCACTGGATGGGATTTAAGGTCCCTTCCAACCTAAACCAGCCTGGGATTCTCTGACTCCTTGCATCTGTAATTCTGAGCCTGCTCCAGCAACAAACAGCAAGTCAGTGAAAAGGCACCAAGAGCTGGGATGAATCCAGTTTAGATTCTCCAACAGGTCACAGGGGGCCAAGGATCTGCTCCCAGGAAACAAAGGACAGGACAAACAGCCTCAGGCTGTGCAAGGGGAGGGTCAGGTTGAGTATCAGGAGGAATTTCCTCATGGAAAGGGTGGTCAGGTCTTGGCAGGGGCTGCCCAGGGAGGTTTGGAGTGCCCATCCCTGGAGGTGCCCAAGGATGTGGCACTTCATGACATGGTGGGATTGGGTCAAAGGCTAAACTTGGTGATCTTGGAGGTCTTTTCCCACCTAAATGACTCTGTGAGTGCCAATGTCCACCATGCAGAGCCACAGCCTGGCCCTGAACTCGGGTTCCAGAGCTCCCCAGCCCCTGTGCAGGGGAATTACCTGGCCTGGAGTGGCGACAGAAGAACACTTGGGCTCGGGGCAGTTGAGGCAGTGCACCTGTCCATCCCTGATCTGGATTTCAAAGTAGTCCTTCAGGCAGGCTTTGCAGTACACGTGGCTGCACTCGGTGAAGTGCATGCACTCACTGCCCAGCTTCTCACAGAAGCAGATACTGCAGGAGTACATCTTACTGTTAAAGCACCTCCTCCTCTGGGCCTGGTCAAAGTCCAAGATCTCCCTGATCAGACTGGACAAGGACTCCACATCCTGCACAGCCCTGGCATCTGTGATTTCCTCCTCAGCTGTGGCAGAGCCTGTGGCACCCCCACAGTCCTTCCCAGCCTCCAGGGGCCCCCCAGGTGTCCAGCTCTGCCCCT